AAAGATAATATTTTCTTATTGCATTGCACCACTAGTAATCAATAAATATAAAGAAATAAAACATAAAGCTTTATTAACTATGAGGTATTTCTCTTTTCACTATAAAAATGAACTCTTAGCATATGACTCGCTCGATCTCGATACCACCTTGCGACGTACATCTCTAATTTTAAACTTTTTAGTTCGTTATGGGCAAAGTTCGAAACATAGTGATTGTACTTCATAAATTCTATTTAGTTAATCACTATTATTTCTGACAATATAATAATCGCCGTACAAGACTTTTGCACTCTTCAGTAATATGTTTTCTTTTTTAATCTCATCATAATCTCTCATGTCCCTTTCATTTTCATCAACCTTCCCAAGATCACATATATTCGTTACATCTTCATTTCTCAATCCAATTTCAACTTCTGTGGTCCAAAAACTTCTTAGTGGTTCTATATTAGAAACATCAACACTTTGTACATGCCTTACAAAATTGCACAAGATACTTATATCTTTATTTAATTCTATCTGAGGATTTGATGTTTTGTTATTTTCTACCTTTACATCTGACTTTTTGTTGTTAAATGAATTATCATTAAGTATAGATGAATTTGAGAATTGTAATCTTGCCATTTTTAATAAGCTTAGAAATTCGTGTTGTGTGATTTTTACTTCTTGCTGATCCTGAACATTAATATCTCCTTTATATTTGGCTGGAGGTAACAGTAATGATTTCACAGACCACGTTGGAGACTCGGGCTTTTTTTTTTTTTTTAAAAAAAAAAAACATTAATATATATAGAAATATATATATATTAAAACAATTTCGTAAAGAATATTTACTAGACAATCTTCATCAATCTTCGGCTTCGTGTTATCGTTGTTTGGTGAAACCATTTTACTTAAATTGCGAAAGACGAAGCCTAGAGTTGGGAAAGGATGAAAGACGAAACTTCCTGACAAAATGGCGAAACCATGATGAGTGACCAAACCACTAAAGAAAGGCGAACCTCTTGACGAAAGCATTTTACAATGATGTGACGTGCGTATATGGTTGTCAAACACAATGGCTAAATGAAAATATATCGATATATACTGATATGAAGAAAGCTCAGCCTCTAAAAAATCTGATCAGCAACATATGATATCAATATGTAAATCCTGACCATTTTTTACCGAACCGTTTTTCAAATTTCCCCATTTCGGGGTCGTCTAAGAAACAAACCGATAAAATGTCGGGAAGGCAATTTTGCTTATATATAACAATTTAAA